TCAAGTGAGTCTATGATCACAGATCTGCTCCTAGTCTCTACAGTCCTTCCTGCCATTTCCCAGGAATCATCCCGTGTAGAGAGAAGGATAACAGGAACCTCTGAACATCGTCCACCCCTCAGGACACGTTTTCTCTGTAAAGAAGAAACATTTAACTTTACACAAGAGTCTTTAAACTGAGGAAGTTGTGTGTTTTTGTTGACTCTATTTTGAGCTGTGCAGCGTCACTGTGACACACATGACTTCATTTTAATGTCCTGTTCTGCATCTTAGCGACAAACATTCAGTATGAAGACACTATTATCATCTAACACGGATAGATTATTTCCTTTTATATATCATACTGACATACAAACGTATTGAATAAGCATTGTTGAAGGAAGACTAAGAACAACTGCTTTTCTCTAGTCGTTTTAAATACAATAAATAACTGTTCCTCAATACGATACGACAATACGACAATAAAGTTCCTTGGTTCCCTAATTTAAAAGTCTGTGGAGACTATTTATACTTGACCACCACAACAATTATTTATTCAATCAATTGACTCATTAATTACAGAAGTATTTCTTTAGGAAACAGTTTAAACACACAGACCAGCACTCACTCTGCTTCAACAAGAGCTGAAGTCCGTCCTTCTCTTGGGTCAGTGCAGTGACTTTGTCCTTCAGCTGGTCTCTCTCTGCAGACACTGAGGACAGCTTGTCTCCACTGACATGCACTGAGTCATGAAGACATTGAGACACAATTCAATACATCACTGTTGTGTTCTATATTACAGAAACATCCCATCATCTTTTCACAGGAAATAATAAAGATACTGAGCAAATGTTGTCATGACAACCAGCAACCTGAACTCTCTCAAATCTCAGGTTGGATGAAGATCAGACTCACCGTGGACACCGAGACAGACGAGTCCAGCCAGCAGGAGGACACTGAGCAGCCCCAGAGAGACAGCAACAGCCACATGAGGTCTGCTCCTTGGGCTGCTGGGACCTGGAAACATGAAGACCAGTCAGCACGCTGGTCAGGAGAAGATGCACAGACTGATCATTCTTACCTGGGGCAGGTGTTGAAGGTCTTATGGAAACCTGAGACTTGTCGTATTCAACGTTGGCAGATATGTCATCCATCGCTCTGAGGATTCACGCTTTGCCCTCCAGGGTCAGATATGTAGCATCAACTCACACAAGGAGAGAATGTAAATGAGGAACCTCTCCAGCTGGGTCTTAAAGACAAAAGGGAAGCAGTAAAGAGAAATAGAAGAAGCGATAGGGGAGGGTATTAATTGTGACACAGTGATTTTCAGGAGAGAGAAACAACTCTATTTAGTATTTTACTTCCCCAACGGGATCAATAAAGGAGACTTTCTTTCTTTCTTTCTTTCTTTCCTATTTACCTGTTTTCCTCTCCGAGTGCAGCCAATTCCAGAAAGAGCTCAATCAAATTCATGAAATAATGAAATAAAACATAGTATTGGGTCTGGGAATGCATTAACTGAAGTACTTAACTACAAATCCAAGCAGATTATTCCCATTTTGTGCAACTTTCTACTTCTACTCCAAACATTTACAATTTGGTTCAAGTATTTTGTCCCAGATGTGCACGTTGACGAAGCGTTTATTTTATTTTGAGTAACGTGTTCACATGAGCCCACTCCTGGACTGACCCTCTCTGTGAGGGACTGTCAGGTGACTCAAATGCAGAGATCACACAGAGAGACTGGAGTTTATTGCAGAAAAGGAAAAGCAGCATCCAGCGGAAATAAGATTTATTGTCCAGAAAAACGATGGAAAGACACAAAACAGGCTGAAGGAATCTCTGGGAATAGTGTCTAGTAATAGTAATAGAATGGGGGGGGTCTGGAGGACTGTGTCACTGGAGGGTTGAAGACGGTCAGGGGGCGTTCAGGACCCTCCAGCCCAGTCAGGCAGAGCCTCCCTGGAGGCTCTGATGTGAGCAGCGTTTCATATCTAAGATATTCATTTACTGGGTTTTCAGACCCAATGGACTCTTACATTTTAGCTTAAATTAATTAATTTAATTCAAATATGCTAGATTACTGTGTACGCCATTAGCAAAGGCAAATGTTATGTAAAAAAGCTACACAAAATTACTTCTTTAAAAAATGAGTTTTAATCAAGGTAAAATGAGCATTCCATGCAAACGACATTTGAATCAGCATGAGGGGTCTGCAGAGATCACAGTCTCCTAGAGCTCAACTACAGTGCATAGTGGCAGGACTACAGTGACCTTTTCTTTGGTCTTACTTAAATGCACAGAGGATGTATTAACCACACATCTTCTAGCAATGCGCTCAACTGGCAGAAATGATGCTGGGTATGACGTGTCTGTTCCCTGCAAGCCCCAAACTTCTATTGGCTTTCCATAAAAATGTCTGTCCGGGTCGTAGTTCTGCTAGAGGGTCAAGGACGGGTTCCTCAAAACTGTTAGTGTTTCCACACCACTTAGCATGAACACATGCTGACCTTTCTGCTCTGCATCTATCGATTGAGTAAGTTACATTCATATATGTTACCCGTTTACATGTCACGGCAAAACATTTAACATCAGTGACACAAGGGTACATGTGATGATACATTGTCAACATTGCATGTCTGTCAGACTCATTGTCTGGTGGAATGGAGAAAGAGGCACCACTGTACAGATTTCTAGGGAAAGTCGTTCTGCTGACACCAAAACACTGCTTTACATGAAGCATATCAGCTGTTTCAAAGTCCCAACCATTTGTCTTCCTAAAATACTGGTCCTTCCGTTTAACAATAACCTCGTATGTGATTGGAGGACCCTTAGACTCTTCGTCCAATCACGTGTGAGGTCATAGGCATGACTCAGACAGCAGTACTTGCAAGATGAGCATACAAACAGACACGTGTGTGTCACTATATTCAGAAGAACTGTATCTCCAGTTCCAGTTTCTCCATAGAAATGCAGATTCATCACTTCCTCTCTTTACTTCACCAGTAAAATTTAAACCGGGTTTTCACATCAGAACACTCACTGGGGTTCCCTTTATCCTGAGAGAGAAATGTCCAGATAGACATAGTAGTTCCAGAGTTATTACACTTTTTTCATGGGTATAATATTTTGGAGCAGAGGCCAAAAAACATACTAGGTCACAAATTGGCTTTAATTGTAAAAGCCAGAGTTTGTCATCAATGGAAAAAACTGAATATAACAATAAATATCTTCACACTACCTGTTCTTCAAGTGAGTCTATGATCACCAGATCTGCTCCTTGGTCTCCACAGTCCTTTCTGCCATTTTCCCAGGAATCATCCCGTGTAGAGAGAAGATAACAAGAACATCTGAACATCGTCCACCCCTCAGGACACATTTTCTCTGTAAAAGAAGAAACATTTAACATCACACAAGAGTTCTTGTGTGTTTTTGTTGACTCTTTATTTTGAGCTGTGGAGCGTCACTGTGACACACATCACTTTACTTTAATTAACCTTCATTAATTACAAATACATTATTTTATTTTATATTGTACCCCTTTTCACGGTTCACGAGTTCAATGATGGTAAATGGTTTTCTCTGGAAAAGAAGAAACCTTTAATGTCCTAAAATGAGAAAGGAGGAAGTTGTGTTTTTTGCTGAATCTGTATTTAGAGCGTTCAGCTGTGGAGCGTCACTGTGACACACACTTTATTATTTCATTTTATATGTCATAGCGTATCCCTATATTTGACTATATACTTCTAACTGTTTCATCTCCTTCATACTCATACTTTCACAATGTACTTAATAAGTAATATTGAAGGTAGATTGAGAACTTAAGATTTTCTTTTTAAACAACTGCTTTATTCTGGTTATTTTAAATCCAATTAATAACTTACAGTACAATTCCTCAATTCCCTCATTTGAAGGAAAGCAAAGACATGAATAAAACTACAAATTATTAAGTATTTCTTTAGGGAAGAGTTAAACAGCAGAAGACACACAGACCAGCACTTACTTTGTCTTAACAAGAGCTGAAGTCCGTCCTTCTCTTGGGTCAGTGCAGTGACTTTGTCCTTCAGCTGGTCAGTTGTCAGTTGTTGCTGCAAATGATTATTTTAATGATTTTAGCATGTTTTTATACAACCAGCAACCCGAACTCTCTCAAATCTCAGGTTGGATGAAGATCAGACTCACTGAGGACACCGAGACAGACGATTCCAGCCAGCAGGAGGACACTGAGCAGCCCCAGAGAGACAGCAACAGCCACATGAGGTCTGCTCCTTGGGCTGCTGGGACCTGGACACATGAAGACCAGTCAGCACGCTGGTCAGGAGAAGATGCACAGACTGATCATTCTTACCTGGGGCAGGTGTTGAAGGTCTTACGGAAACCTGAGACTTGTCGTATTTAACGTTAACGTAGACTTCGTCCATCGCTGTGAAGACGACCAGCTGTCAAATGATGAACGTGACGTTGCTTTCAGCTGATGAATAATTTGACTTCAGAAGGTTCAGGTTTTCAGAGTTGCTAAAAGCCACATATGTACTTACAATAAAGCAGAAGAACAGCTGCGTTGACGTCTGCTCTCTCTGCTCTCACAGTTCACCAGTGAACAAAGGGATCAATGCAACAAAGTGTTACAAATAGGCTCCAACGGTAGTATTAATAAATGGCACCTTTCCGGGGGAAGGTGGGAAGGTGTGAAAGTGTGCGTGCACGTGGTGCGGGATAGTTGTCTCCTCTGAACATCATGAAGGGACGACATGGTGTCATCCACCATGTGACCATTGGTATCTTCCACCTGTTGGAAAAAACAGATATGTTCAAATAACTGGCGTGTTATATTTTTACAGATACATATATTCCCATAATGGAATCAAACGTTTTGGGGTCTGTACGAGTCGTTTCTGTCATTTTGTATGAGTGACAACATCACATTAGAGTCTACAGGTGAGTGTGAGGTGTGAGTTCTGGTCGGACTGAAACACTTAAGTTTTCCCTCAGTAGGATTGATCACTAATAAACAATACCGCTGCCTAAACGGTGCTTCAGCCAATACTTAAAAAAGAAAAAAAGTGCAAAATGACGACATTAAAAAGAGATTTGTTTGACAAATTTATTTCTTATACAAAACTACAGCATCAAACTGTTTAACCTGAAACTATGAGCAATATATTAACTGTTAGCAACAGCTGTACTTTAAGGTATTTCCCCTCTCTAAGAGGCAGAAGTTTATATATTAGTTAATTGGAATTTGGAGAATTTTAATAGTAAACTCAAGTGAACTCTGTGGCAGAAGAAGATGGCGTCACAGTGAGAAGCTGGCCGATGGTTTCCGGACAGCCTGCGTTCACTGTTGTTCGCTCCACACCATAAATAGAGGCCTGGTTGAGGCCAACTTCCTGTTTTCAAACCTGACATCTGTGTTTGGTCTGTTTCCACGTGTCTGTTGGACTGATTCCAATGTAAGAAGAGCTTTATTTATTTATACATTTTGTACATGATTTGTTCATGATGAAGGTTCGAGGAAGAGGGAAGAGGAAGACCCTCAACTCCCCTCCCCCCAATCAAGGGAGATTGGTGGTAAACAGATGTGGTTTAGGAACATCTGCGACCCCCTCTTAATGGGACCTAAATCATATTTGGCAGACAGAAATGGACGGAAGGAGATAAGAACAGGATACGGTCTGTCCAGGCCCCATCTGGAAACCTGGATGCCTTCGTGGACTCGGTCAGGTCACGAGTTTCCCAAAATTTCCCACATAAGAGTTCTTGAGACAATATGCAGCTCAACAAATTCTCCCCCGGCAATAATCACACTTTACAGATGATATGTTTCAATTATTAAGGCAGTTTTTCACAGATCCATCGCATTACAGCGTCACAACGCAGATCATTCCAGTTTCTTTGTGGGTTCTGCTCAGGTTCTATCTGAGCGCAGTCCTCCTCCCCCCACCGGGGGTCTCCTCCCCCGTTATCAGGCTGAGGCCCATAAGGATGAGTGGACCAGTACCTGTGAGGAGCATAAGACGGTGAACTTTCACAGGAATGTTCTCTTCACTAAAATAACAATCAATGAAGCTTAAAGTCTTTCCAGTAAAATAAAAATGAGGAAAAACATTTTCCAACCCAGTGAGTTTAGTTACCTGTGTAGTGCACAACCAATATTAGAAGAATTACACTAAAAATAAAGATATTTGCAGCAATAGTTGTATATGTGTCGATCTTTAAATATTGTCGTGTCTTACGCTGCAGTCAGTAGAGTTCCATCAATCCATTTCCAGGTGCCCTCGATGTCTCTGTCACTCAAACCAATCCAAGTCTGACTTTTGACGATGCTTGAGAGGAATTTCTGTTCAAAATAAAAAGCATAGAATGTAAGTATTTATGTTTCATTTTCAAACATATCATTAATTCAGTTTACAGGGATCCATCTGAACAATTTAATAAGAATCCAACGTAAAGTTCCGCTTTACGTTGATAACAGACAATTCTCAGACTGTAAAATTGTTATTTTGTGCTACAGAAAATAAAATGAATTTATTCAAATAATCATAGCAAAAACTGTGAGGCTACAAGCCCGACAAAGTATCACAGACAAGTTGGATAAATTGAAGTGTTGTTAAAATGTATAGGCTCACTTTAAGTGCCTCATCACTTCCCTTGACAGTGCCCTAATCAATTACATTATATTTCTTTAAATGTGCTGGCAGGATGCTTCATATCATCCAATGAGAATAATTATCTCAACTTTTTAAGAATAAGTATATGAAAACAAGCCCAAAGAGTATTATTGATACGAATGAATAGTTATGAGGATAAATGTACTGTATCAGCTTATGTATCATATGTATGTGAATATATGTATGTGTACCACATAGCATGGAGGGAGTGTACCGATAGTGTGGGGTGTGTGTATTTCTGCTGCTGGAGAAACAAGAAAAGGATTTCTGCCAGAACGTCCATTCACCTGCGTTAAGTGAACAGGGATCGATCAGGTCAGAGAGGGACTGCAGATTCGACCAAATGATGGAGCAGGGAGGTGTGATGTAGAAAGGAATTCACGAGGGCGGAGCTGGGCTTGAATGTGCAGCCAATCACATACGACAACACCACAAGGGACACGCCCCCCCCACTGGAGATTGGAGGAGCTGAGCTGGAAGAGGAGGAGACAGAAGCCTCCTGTGAACCAATATTGATGGTCGCAAAAAAAAATTACACTATTCATACTTTATTTCACTTTGTTACTGTATTTCTTATTACTTCCATTAGTTGTTAAATTCTTTATAATTTTTAAACTGCTGACTCTTTATAACTTGTCGTCTCAGAAGGTTCGAGGGTAACAGAAGTGATCCTTGATCAGAGGTTCAGAACTCCACACGTCTCATCCTGAAATAATATTTCATGCTCCAGAGGTGAAGCATATCTTCCTATTTAGATGGAATGAGAAGTTTAGCTTCTCTATCAGCATTTTATAAGCTGAGGACGTACACAGGAAGTCTCCCCGTGGACCAGACGTCTCCTTTCAGAGACGCTCGGTTCAGCCTATGCGGTCGTTGGAGGACACGGCGCAGGTCGACTGCAAAGCCTGAGTCCTCATGAGGACGCAGCCCACCAAAGGAGACACAGCCACAGGTTGTGAGTCTGTTGGTGACCCACAATCAACACTTGGTTCAGAGCGCACTGCTGAGTGTAAAAAGACACCTGCATGCAAGTGTTCAAATCCAACACTTGATGGCGACCTTCTCTCACACCCAACAGGAACGGACTGAGAGCGTCCCTAGAAAGGACAAGTCCTGAAGACATTTACATGACAAGAAGTGCACCTGCTGTCTCATGCTATGTGTGAAGTGGACTGTATCGTAGTAGTTATTGAGGGACATGAGCAGATGTTCATACTAGCTGGCTGCGTTGGTGAATGTGACATATTTAATGAAAACAGCTCAAGTCGCCTTTGTTGCTCTAAGAAATGTATTTCAGGATGAAGCTTTTTATTCAAATATCTATTTAGTACAATATGCAGCTTTGTTTCTTGTCACCAGCACACACACACACACACACACACACACACACACACACACACACACACACACACACACGTGCACATTAAAGATGTTCATTTCCCAATAAAACGACTTTAAAGTCAAACTATAAAAATCAATTCATACTAAGAACTTGATACCTGACTTACATGGTCTCCTTCTGTCTCTAAATGCAACTTACATCAACACCATTAAAGCCCTTTTACCAAAACACAATCACACTTTACAGATGATATGTTTCAATTATTAAGCCAGTTTCTCACAGATCCATCGCAAAGCAGTGTTACACGGCAGATCATTCCAGCTGTTTTGTGTCTTCAGGTCAGGGTTCATCTCAGCGCAGTCCTCCTCCACGGTTGAACCTCCTCCCCCGTTATTAGGCTCAACTACATTGGCGTCACGGTACCAGTACCTAAGAGGAGGATAAGACATTTCACAGGAGTGTTCTCTTCAGTAAAGCGGCCGAAAATAACATTCAATGAAGCTTAAAGTCTTTCCAGTAAAATAAAAATGAAGAATAATATTTTCTAACAAAGTGAGTTTATTTCTTTGTGTAGTGCACAACAAATATTGGAAGAATTAGACTAAAGATAATGATAATAATAATAATAACAATAGGTGCAGCAATAGTTGAATATGTGTCGATCTTTAAATATTGTTGTGTGTCTTACGCTGCAGTCAGTGGAGTTCCATCAATCCATTTCCAGGTGCCCTCGATGTCTTTGTCACTCAAACCAATCCAACTACGACGTCTGTTGATGCTTGAGAGGAATTTCTGTTAAAGATAAAAATATATAAATTCTGTAATTATTATTTTAAATGTTTTAAGGAGGTTTAAGGATTTATTTTAAACATTGTGAAAATTAATTATATTACCAGCTCAATGTTGTTGTAATGTAGGTATTATAGCTGATGAAAAGAAAATGACTTATCTGAATATTTGGTCTACATCAGTATTGACAAATAAACAGAATATAGCCGGAGGGCATGAATACATGAAATAAAATACATCACAGAATGAAAATAATATGAACATCAAAAACAATTAAATACTCAGATGTACTCATATTGTAGTGGCCAGTTGAGAAAAAGCTTCATTTGACTCTAAATGGACCATAATTTACTAAATGAACATCATGCTGGATTGAAGAAGACTTAAAACTAGAGACTGAGACCATAAACTCATGTTTACAATGTTTACTGAGGGAATAAATCAAGAGAGAAGAGAGTCATTTCCTCATAGACGTCTATGGGAGCAGAGGAGTCGCCCCCTGCTGGTCACTACAGAGAAGTAGAGTCATTTCCTCATAGACGTCTATGGGAGCAGAGGAGTCGCCCCCTGCTGGTCCCTACAGAAAATTCAGCTTTTAGACAAATTGGCTTTAATTGTTAATGCCAAAGTTTGTCACACGGGGAAAACTGAATATAACTATAACTAACTTATAACACACTACCTGTTCTTCAAGTGAGTCTATTATCACCAGATCTGCTCCTTGGTCTCTACAGTCCTTTCTGCCATTTTCCCAGGAACCATCCCGTGTAGAGAGAAGATAACAGGAACCTCTGAACATCGTCCACCCCTCAGGACACGTTTTCTCTGTAAAAGAAGAAACATTTAACTTCACACAAGAGTCTTTAAACTGAGGAAGTTGTGTGTTTTTGTTGACTCTATTTTGAGCTGTGCAGCGTCACTGTGACACACATCACTTCATTTTAATGTCCTGTTCTGCATCTTAGCGACAAACATTCAGTATGAAGACACTATTATCATCTAACACGGATAGATTATTTCCTTTTATATATCATACTGACATACAAACGTATTGAATAAGCATTGTTGAAGGAAGACTAAGAACAACTGCTTTTCTCTAGTCGTTTTAAATACAATAAATAACTGTTCCTCAATACGATAGGACAATACGACAATAAAGTTCCTCGGTTCCCTAATTTAAAAGTCTGTGGAGACTATTTATACTTGACCACCACAACAATTATTTATTCAATCAATTGACTCATTAATTACAGAAGTATTTCTTTAGGAAACAGTTTAAACAAACACAGACCAGCACTCACTCTGTTTCAACAAGAGCTGAAGTCCGTCCTTCTCTTGGGTCAGTGCAGTGAAGTTGTCCTTCAGTGCAGTGAAGTTGTCCTTCAGTGCAGTGAAGTTGTCCTTCAGTGCAGTGAAGTTGTCCTTCAGTGCAGTGAAGTTGTCCTTCAGCTGGTCTCTCTCTGCAGACACTAAGGACAGCTTGTCTCCACTGACCTGAAGACGCTCCGTCAGGTTGGCTTTGATGGAGGAGAGTTCAGCAGCTGACGCATGCACTGAGTCATGAAGACATGAAGACATGATTCAATACATCACTGTTGTGTTCTATATTACAGAAACATCCCATCATCTTTTCACAGGAAATAATAAAGATACTGAGCAAATGTTGTCATGACAACCAGCAACCTGAACTCTCTCAAATCTCAGGTTGGATGAAGACCAGACTCACTGAGGACACCGAGACAGACGAGTCCAGCCAGCAGGAGGACACTGAGCAGCCCCAGAGAGACAGCAACAGCCACATGAGGTCTGCTCCTTGGGCTGCTGGGACCTGGACACATGAAGACCAGTCAGCACGCTGGTCAGGAGAAGATGCACAGACTGATCATTCTTACCTGGGGCAGGTGTTGAAGGTCTTACGGAAGCCTGAGACTTCACGTATTCAACGTTAGCGTAGATTTCGTCCATCGCTGTGAAGACGACCAGCTGTCAAATGATGAACGCGACGTTGCTTTCAGCTTATGAACAGTGTGACTTTTGAGGAAGTTTCACTTTTCAGAGGTGTGAAAAGCCATATATGTAAATAAAATACAGCAGCTGCAATGAAGTCGGTTCTCTGTCTCACAGTTCAGACCAGTGAACACAGGGATCAATGCAATAAACACACTTTATGTAACTACACATCAGTTCACACTCTCACCTGTCTGATTAGTCCTTGGGTTTGAGTTGACAGGTTCATCATATTCAACATATAAATCCTCCATCACTGTTGATATGTCACTGGGTGGACGAAAGGGACCATTGATTGCATGCGCAATTGATTGCATATTTTATTGATTGCATGTTTTATTGATTTGTTGTTGCATGTTTTTAGTTTGTTATTTTATGATTGCATGTTTCTATGACTTGTTTTGTGATTGTATGCTGGACAATTTATAATCTGCCTTGAGGTTTGTTTGAGTGTCCTCAATTGACAATGGTCCCCAACTCATTAGCAATTAGTGGCATATGGCAAATGGACCAATGGGGAAAGGCCAGGGGCAGAACTTTCTCTTTTTAAGCAGGAAGACAGAACACTGGCAGAAGGAGAAACGGGGGAGAAACAGGGCGAAACTGGAAAGGAGAGCTGGGGAGCAACAAGGAGAATTGAGGAGTAACAAGGAGAACCGGGAAGAAACGAGACACGAAAGAAGGGAGAAGGAGCAAGGCAGAAGCAGAGGTACCACCACCAGCACCAGCAGCAGCAGCAGCAGCAGAGGGCGACTGGCAGTCAGACGTCCACACCAGTGGACTAGGGACGCGCAGGACTTCGCTCCTGCTGTGGTGATTACCCTGGACGGACTATTTTAGCTCCCTTTTATATATTTTAACCTTTTGTATTAAAATAAATATTTTTTAGTCGTATTGCCGCCCCTGTCTCCTCTTGGGTCATTGTTTTACTGCTCCCCTCCAAACAAATGAACCTTTGGTTTTAATTATTTAGAGTTCCTAGGGCTTTTGCCTAGGTGGCGTTGTTGGCAACACTTTTAGTTTTTAAGAAACCTCGGCCGCTGACATAAATTTGGCGTTGCTGGCAGGACTTTTAGTTTTTAAGAAGAAACCTCGGCCGCTGACAATAAGATACCCTCTATTTCCTACAGGGTCACAGCTGCAGCATCAACTTACACCAAGAGAAAGTCACACCTCTCACACGCAAGCGCTGAAGTTCATCTTTGTTTTGTGTCATTAGTCTCGTGTTGTTACAAACAGGCTACAACTTCATTTCATTGTTGTACACTGACAGCAAACATCCTTGAACCCTTGAGCCTTGAAATGATCCAATGCAGAAAGTCGGTACACTGAACATCATTCCAAGTTCTTCCTGAGTTCCTCATTTCAGCGCAGTCCTCTTCCCCCACCGTGGATCTCCTCCCCGCTACCCGGTTGAACATGAGGTTCACTCTCCCAGCAGGAGAGGATCAAGCTGCTGAACGTTTACAGGTTTCTTTCACTTTACCAAAGCAGCCAACGGCATTAAAGCAGCTTCAGGTCTTAAACTTCTAACCCACTGAGTTTAATGTTTTGTGTAGTGTAGCATCACTCGCAAGAGAATGTTTTGCTTCAGTCTAATTTGAGAAATGAGAGAATGTGTCTCTATGAACATGTGATGTGTGTCTTCTTCTCCACTTCCAGGTTCCCTCCATCTCTCTGTCACTCAAACCAAACCAACTTCGACACGTGACAATGATAAAAGGGAGAGAACGCTGCTGTTCAGGTTTCATTTTGATAGATTCTATCGATGCAGTTTACAGGGATTCATCTAAACAATCTGATCAGAATTCACTTCAAAATAACACAAAGTCAACACATTTAATATTAACACCGTTACAGCCAATAAACGTTCCATAAGGAATGTTACATCACAGGTCATGTAGTTGACGCTTTTATCCAAAGCGACTTACAATAAGTGGATTTCAACCATACGGACACAAACTCAGAAGAACAATGTAGCCCCCCTTCTCCCTCCTAGCCAGGGTCCTTGTACACCCCTGTTGTATGGGCGAGGTGTTGAAGAGGGTCTACTTCTATATGCTGCTGTACTGTCAGAGGATATAAACATAGCCCAGATACAAAAACCGTGAACATCTAGGATCACACGCACAATTCACTACACACTCCGCGTAAACACCTCTTCAACACCCGGGATTTGATGGTCTGTAAGATGGTACACGTGCTGCCGCGATCCTCCACCCAGAAAAGAGGGGTTTGTACTCACAGTTCTCCGCGATGTCCATCGGTACCAGATCTGTATGCTCTAAAATCGACTTTGAAATGAAAATATCGATACTTTCTATACTTCAGTAATTTGTGGTAATGTATATTATTAACAGGAATTTGGTGGAAAGTAACTAAACCATTCAGGTCTTGTCTAAATGACGCGCCGCTGGTAGGGACTACTTTCTCCTCCGCCTGGGTAAGTGCCTAATACCTAAACACAGTGGCACGCTGACGCTGCTGCTCGCTCTCTCAGACAGAGAATGTCGGAACTGAAGAGAAGTCATGTGTGCAGCTATTTCAGTTCCACAAACAGCCAGGATGCTCTGTGTGACATCTGTGGGAAAACCGTGAAGAGTTGTGGCAACACAACCGACCTAGTGAAACACTTACGAACAAACCACAACACTGAATATGAGACATTTTACTGGCAATTCTTGAGTCACCCAGAATGATAAAACAGCAAGTGTTTGTATCCCCTTTTTCTAGGCTATTTGGAGAGACATACATGCATACATATGCACACATACTGAGTTGAAACAAAATAAGATTACGATTTCAGTACAGTGTAGCCCGCTTGTTAATTTTGTGCTGTGATTTTAAATCGTTTAAAGATGATTCCCCAAGAGCAGCAACACTCACAAGATGCCTGGCAGAGATGATTGCGGAGGATCTCCAGCCTCTGTCCATAGTGGAAGACCAAGGTTTCCAAGGATTTGTGAGAGCTCTTGACCCAAAATATAAACTCCCAGGAAGAAAGAAACTGACAGAGACCCATCTTGTAGAACTGTTTGATGAACGCAAAGCCAAAGTAAGGCATCTTTGCAAAATGATTCTAGCGTTGTACTTACCACTGATATGTGGACCTCAGTGTCCACAGAGGCATATTTGACCGTAACATGTCATCTCATTGAAAACTGGAAAATGAGGGATTTTGTTTTGGAAACCCAAACTTTCAATGGGCAGAATACAGCTGACAGTATCAGTTTAGCGCTTAAACGCATCGCAGAAAAAGAGTTTTTTTTGGGACTTTTTTCTCCTGTCAGGTAGTGAAGGAGCAAAGGATGTACGACAGCCCAGTGAGGAAAATATGATGTTAAATATGTACACACTACAATAAAATACAATAAAACAGCAGAGCAGAACATATTCAATTAAATGAAGGCTAAAGTGAAATAGAAGTATGTAAAGTGGGGGTGGAATAGGTATAACATTAAATTAGAAGATTAAATTAAGAGTAGTGAAGTGGTAATTTCATTAAAGAAGGATTTAGCCAGAGGTGATTATAACAGTAGACTATGTTGAAGAAGTGGATGAAGTCAGTGTGGAGGAATCATCACGTGTAGAGAGAAGATAACAAGAACAACCTCCAACCTTCAAGAGACGTTTTCTCTGTAGAAACAAGAAACTTAAAGTCACACAAGAGTCCTTGAATTGAGGAAGTTGTGGGTTTTGTGTTTTGTTGACTCCCTGTTTTTAGCAGTGAACTCACAACATAACACACATCACTTTATTTTTATGTTCGGTTCTGCATCTCTGTGTCCAACATTCGTTACTTCTCTCTACCAAGAAAAATAAAAAACATGTTAGAAAAAACAAAAGAATATTACAATTATTATCCAATGAAAATATATAAATATAAATACATACATACATACACACAGAGACAGACACAAAGAAAAGAAAAACTCGTCCTTTTCTTCCCTGAAATATAAAAGTTGTGCGTTGCTGCTCTGAAACACACACAAGTTGACTCTCGTTCAGGATCCTTTTCAGGAAGATGTTCTTCACCTCATCAAGTTTTAAAAGAACTTCAGCAGCTTCTAAGAACAGACAGAAGTGGTGAAGATAAAGTGAGGAAGTGATGAATCAGCATTTCTATCTATATGTTTCCAGATGTGAGAACCGACTTTTCTCTTCATCTGATTCTTCTTTCCTGTTGCTGAAGTGAGTGCAGACATTTACAGAATGAACTCAGAAATATGAAACAATGAAATAAAACAGCGATCATTGTGTTCATTTACTGAAGAACTTAACTACACATTCAACCACATTATGATTTTATTAACATTCTTCATAATTCTTCATAATTCTACTCTAGTTTGAGTGTTTTATATCAGGCCAAAGTTGCTCAAAAAGAACACAACATATGTTCCGTAGCCATTCACGACCAGACAGAGGTGGTGCTTTCCCTTTCACCACATATAAGGGCAATCAAACTCTCTGTTTATTCAATTTCACCGATACTTTCAACATTCCCTCGGGAAGCAGCAACTCTCCTGTGTGTGTTTTCAACACTACATGCGTCTGGCGTAAACGTATCAGGGCAAATTTGGCTTTGTACATCCATCCATCCATCCATCTTCAACCGCTTATCCGGGGTCGGGTCGCGGGGGCAACAGCTCCAGCAGGGGACCCCAAACTTCCCTTTCCCGGGCCACATCTACCAGCTCTGACTGGGGGATCCCAAGGCGTTCCCAGGCCAGTGCAGAGATATAATCTCTCCACCTAGTCCTGGGTCTTCCCCGGGGCCTCTTCCCAGCTGGCCGTGCCTGAAACACCTCACTAGGGAGGCGCCCAGGGGGCATCCTCACCAGATGCCCAAACCACCTCAACTGGCTCCTTTCGACGCAAAGGAGCAGCGGCTCTACTCCGAGCTCCTCGCGAATGGCTGAGCTTCTCACCCTATCCCTAAGGGAGACGCCAGCCACTCTCCTGAGGAAACCCATTTCGGCCGCTTGTACCCGTGACCTAGTTCTTTCGGTCATGACCCATCCTTCATGACCATAGGTGAGGGTAGGAACGAAGATTGACCGGTAGATCGAGAGCTTTGCCTTCCGGCTCAGCTCTCTTTTTGTCACAACGGTGCGGTAAAGCGAGTGCAATACCGCCCCCGCTGCTCCGATTCTCCGGCCAAACTCACACTCCATCTTCCCCTCACTCGTGAACAAGACCCCGAGGTACTTGAACTCCTTCACTTGGGGTAAGGACACATTCCCTACCTGGAGTAGGCAATCCATCGGTTTCCTGCTGAGAACCATGGCCTCAGATTTAGAGGTGCTAATCCTCATCCCGACCGCTTCACACTCGACTGCGAAACGCTCCAGTGAGAGTTGGAGGTCACAGACGGAAGATGCCATCAGGACCACATCATCTGCAAAAAGCAGCGATGAGATCCGCAGCCCCCCGAACTGTAGACCCTCCTCCCCCCGACTACGCCTCGATATCCTGTCCATGAAGACCACAAACAAGATTGGTGACAAGGCGCAGCCCTGGCGAAGGCCAACCCCCACCGGAAACGCCTTCGACTTACTGCCGAGCACCCGAACACAGCTCTCGCTTTGGGCGTACAAGGATTGGATGGCCCCAAGCAAGAACCTGCCACTCTTTTGGCACTGTCCCAGACTTCCACGCAATGTTGAAGAGGCGTGTCATCCAAGACAACCCCCCAACACCCATTGCTTTTAGCATCTCTGGACGGATCTCATCAATCCCCGGGGCTTTGCCACTGCGGAGTTGTTTGACTACCCCAGTGACTTCCACCAGGCTAATTGACGATGATCCCTCCTCCGCCTCCAGCTCCGCCACCACCAAAGAGGGCGTAGTAGTTGGATTCAGGAGTTCCTCAAAGTGTTCCTTCCACCGCCCGATAACCTCCTCAGTCGCGGTCAACAGGGTCCCATCCTTACTGTACACAGCTTGGATGGTTCCCCGTTTCCCCCTCCTGAGGTGCCGGATGGTCTTCCAAAAACACTTTGGTGCCGACCGAAAGTCCTTCTCCATAGTTACCCCGAACTCCTCCCATACTCGCTGCTTTGCCTCCATCACGGCAGAGGCTGCTGCCCTTCGAGCCTGTCGGTACACTGCAACTGCCTATGGAGTCCCACCGGATATCATAACCCGGAAGGCCTCCTTCTTCAGTCGGACGGCTTCCCTGACCACCGGTGTCCACCACGGAGTTCGAGGGTTGCTGCCCCTTGATGCACCTAAGACCTTGAGGCCACAACTCACCGCCGCGGCTTCAGCAATGGAGGTTTTGAACATAGACCACTCTGGTTCAATGTCCCCTACCTCCACAGGAATGTGAGAGAAGCTCCGCCGGAGGTGTGAGTTGAAAATCTTTTGGACCGGGGCCTCCTCCAGACGTTCCCAGTTCACCCTCACTACACGCTTGGGTTTACCGGGTCTGTCCCGAGTCTTCCCCCATCCTCTGACCCAGCTCACAACCAGATGGTGATCAGTTGACAGCTCTGCCCCTCTCTTTACCCGAGTGTCCAGAACATGCGGCCTCAGATCAGACGATACGATTACAAAATCGATCATTGATCTTTGGCCTAGGGTGCTCTGGTACCACGTACACTTATGAACATCCTTATGTTCGAACATGGTGTTTGTTATGGACAATCCGTGACTAGCACAGAAGTCCAGTAACAAACACCCGCTCGGGTTCAGATCAGGGAGGCCATTCCTCCCAATCACGCCTCTCCAGTTATCTCCATCGTCGCCCACGTGCGCATTGAAGTCTCCCAGTAGGACTATGGAGTCCCCTACAGGAGCCCCATGCAGGACTCCATTCAGGGTCTCCAAAAAGGCCGAATACTCTGAGCTGCTGTTTGGTGCATATGCACAGACAACAGTCAGAGTTTTCCCCCCCACCACCCGAAGGCGTAGGGAGGCGACCCTTTTGTCCACTGGGGTAAACTCCAATGTAGCAGCACTCAGCCGGGGACTTATGAGTATCCCCACACCCGCCTGACGCCTCACACCATGGCCCACTGGGAGTAGAGTGTTGGGCTGCCGCGTCACTCCTTCGGGCTGTGCCCGGCCGGGCTCCGCAGTAAACCCGGCCACCAGACGCTCGCTGTCGGGCCCTCCATCTGGGCCTGGCTCCAAATGGGGGCCCTGGGCTTCCTCCGGGCTGGGTAACTCCTTCCCTCTTCCGTTTTTTCATGGGGGTCTTGAACCATTCTTAGTCTGGCCCCTCGCCTGAGACCACTTTGCC